GGGGGGGGGGGGGGGGTTGTCCCTGTGTGGCTCGCGGTGGCAGGCATGAGCTCAGGTCCTCCCCCACACCACACCCCCACCTCTGGCCTCCTCCGGAGCATGGGACAGGATTCTAGCAGGACACAACTGGCGGGGGGAGGGGTCACTGGGGCCACGCCTTGGAGCCCCTGAGCCTCACTTTCTACATCAGTAAAATGGGATAAGCACGGTCTTCACTTTATAGGGTTGTGCTGAGGATTGAGTGAGTTCGTATCCAAACTATTCCCAGTTCACAGGAAGAATTAAGCAAACAATACTTTATTTGTTATTTTGTTATTATTTCCTTCTGGGTAGGACGCTGGTGGGTCTGACATATGGGTGGGGGAGGGGGGGCGGGGTCCTTAGCAGGAGGAACAAGTGAGTGACTGCCCCGCCCCCACCCCAGGGTCCCGGAGCAAGAATCAAATTGCATTGCCTGCAATGCAAACCAGATGGGACGGAGCTCCTGTTTGGGTGACTTCCAAGGCCCCAGATGGAGAGGCCCTGGCCCAGCGGCCTTGGTGGTTGGAGAGCCCCCCACCCACCAGTGGAGGGTCTGGGCCACAAAGGACCCCTCCACACCAGGGTCTGGGGGTCTTGAGCTCAATTCCACCTTCCTCAGCCCCTCTCTTCACCAGATTCTTCCTGAGCTTTTCCCGGGCTCCGAACCTCATTTGTCCATCTATAGAATGGACGTAACCAGAACTGGCCAGGGCGTTGCTGAGCATGACAGTTGCTACTTGGGGCTTTGGGAGCTAGGAACAAATCGGCCCACGGCCCATCCTGCCAGGGAGGGTCATTTTGTGGTCTGTCCTGCAAAGAGGAACTGGGTCCTGGCAGAGGAGGGAATTAGCCAAGCCCTGTGGCCAGAGAGGAGGAAGAGAGGAATCCCTGTTAGAGGGAGGGGAAGGACATTCCAGCCTCAGTTTACCCTGGCTGGGAGGGCCCTGAGAGAGGGATCTCTGGCCCACTGGCCTGGGGGGGGGTGTCAAGTTTGGACACAGGAACTGAGTGGTCAGGGCACCTTCCAGTCTGTACCCCCCGCTGGCCCCCAAGCCGTGCTCATGGCGGCGGACCCCAGAATACCCCTAGGAGCCCCATCCAGGGGCAGGAGTGTGAGTCATCCCTTCCCCTTGGCCCAGGAAGTGACTCATGCGCTCCCTCACTCTCTCCCAGGCTCTGTCTCCCCACCTACCCGCCCCACTTTGGTCTCCCTGGATAATCGGGGTCTCCCCAGCTTCCCCAGTGTTCCTAGCTTGGCAGGGACTGGACGTCTCCCCCCCCACGCCAGCCCTTCCCACGCCTCCACCTGCTCCTGAAGCACCCTCCACCCTCCCTCCCTTCCTGTTTCCATTCACCCCCCTTTCTAATCGCGCTCTCAATCTCTCCATTTCTGTGCCTCTCTCTCCAATCTCTTGGCATCTCAGTCTCTTTCTTTCCATAAGTTCCCGATTTCTCTGTCCATCTCGCTCTAGCACGGCCTTAACCTTTTTTTTTAATGTTTTATTTCTGAGAGAGACAGACAGCGTGAGCAGGGAAGGGTCAGAGAGAGAGGGAGACACAGAATCTGAAACAGGCTCCAGGCTCTGAGCTCCCTGTCAGCACAGAGCCCGACGCGGGGCTCGAACCCACGAATCGTGAGATCATGACCTGAGCCGAAGTCGGACGCTTAACTGACTGAGCCACCCAGGCGCCCCATAGCACGGCCTTAACTTCTGCCTGTTTGTCTCATGCCCTTCTCCCTCTCTCTGTTCCCCTCTCTCCCTCTGTCCCCTCTCCTGCTTTTCCATTACGACCTCCTTGTCTCTCTCCCTGGTGAACAAGGAGCTCCCCCCTCTCTAGAGCCCCTGTTGACTTGAGGGGGACCCCCAAATACGTGCCTTGGGAATAGGGCGCCCCAGAACAACAGGAATGGCAGGAGGCAAGCACCACCCTTAGTGTGAGCCCACAGCGTCTTCCTGTGAGCAGGGAGCCTGGGATGAAGGTCACCACTGGGTCCCAAGCCAGTTGTTGGGCTGACAGATGTTGTGGGTGTGGTGTGTGTGCACCAGTGGCCCTGAGCCGGGGGCGGGGGGGGGTGGGGGCAGAGCATCTGAGATTCGAACACTTGGTCCAACCTCTTCACTGTTACATAAAGGAATGATGACAGTAAACACTTGGACACACTAGGCAGTATCTGCGAGCTTAATTCTCACATGGCTCCGGGAAGTGCTGCCAATCACTGTCCCCATTCTACAGATGGGGAAACTGAGGCACTGAGAAGTGAGGCAACCTGAACAGTGTCTGGGGTTCGAACCAGGGCCACCTGTCGCCAAGTGAACTGTTGCCACAGGGGCTTGGGCCCCCCTTCCCCACCCTGTCTGAAGCCCGTCCCCAGGCGACAGCAGACACTCTGGCTGTGGGTGTTCGAGCCCAGGGAGGGCTGCTCACTCTCTCACTCGGCAACGGACAGGGCCCAAGCTTGGGAGTGGTCAGCAGCCCCCTTCCCTCAGACCTGTCACCCCCAGGTCCCCATCATTCCTTCCTCGCTCTGGGGTCCCCCCCCAGCCCCCAACAACACACGCCCTCTCTCTCTGTTCCAGTGCTGTGTGTCTTGTGGACTCTGTTGGAAGCTGAATCCCAGAAACCCAGTGGTGAGTCTGCTGGCAACAAAGGACTCCACAGCCACAGCCTGGGGAGGGGGGGGCCCTGGACCCCCACAGCCCAGGCATCAGAGGTCTGATACAGGGGGAAAGTCAGGGATGCCCCTCCCGGCAACCTCTACTTTGGACATAATCCACCCCCCCCCGCCCCCAGCACCTGGTGAGATCAGACCTCACCTCCCAACTGTGTCCCCAACCCCACAGACTGCGCTAGGTGGTGCCCCCTGAACTCCAAATGTGTCAACGCCACCGCCTGTCGCTGCTCTCCTGGGTTCAGTTCTTCTTCTGGGGAGATCTTCACCAACCTCTTGGAGAATTGTGATGGTACAGGGGCTTGGAGGGGCGGGGGTGGGGGCACGGAGATGGTGAGGCGGAGCCTGGCACCCATGGGAGGTGGTTGCGGTCTCAGCCTTTGGCCTTGGGACTAGTATCAAAGGCGGAGAAAACAGAAAGGAAAAGACATAAAGGTGGAAAATAAGAAGTGAATAAACCTGGCTTCCTTGAGAGGCAGTTTGCCCTTCTAGGACTGGAAGATGCAGAGCTGCCGCCCACCCCGCAGCTCGGCGTTCCCCACTCTGCCCAAGCCCAGGGTGCCAGCCAGAGGGCAGAGAAGAGCAGAGCTGACTGCGTGGGCTTCAGGAATGGCTTGCTCCAGCTGCAGCCCAGCCTCTGCAGGATAGCTTAAGAGTCTCATCATCTCCTAAAAGACACTGATTAAGCATTGGGCCCCCTGCTGGGGAGTCAGGTAGGGGATCGGGATCTCCTCCCTAAAGGAACTCATGCCTTTGGGAGGTGACCCTTTGCCCTGTTGTGTTCCAGACATCAATGAGTGTGCACCACCCTTGGCGGTGTCCTGTGGAAAATTTGCCGACTGCCAGAACACAGAAGGGAGCTACCACTGCGAATGCAGCCCCGGGTACGAGCTTGCTTCTGGGGCAAAAACTTTCAAGAGTGAAAGTGAGAACACGTGTCAAGGTAAGAAGTAGCCCACGCCTTCCGTCTCCCCATCCATGAGGTTGGGGGTCACCAGAGCCATTGCTAAAGCATCCCCAGAGGCAGGATGAGTCAGGACAGGTCTGTCTGTTCCTGGGCCACCGGCACAGAAAGGCAGGGCAGCGGGAGAGACAAGGGCCTGGACCCAGGCTTTGCCTCTTGATAGCTGTGTGTGTGACGCTGGCCAGGATACTCATGCAGAAATCACCGTTCATGTGCCAGCGGTGGTATTATTGTGCTTTTGTGTTAAAAAGACAAAGCGTCTCTAGTTTTTACAGATAAAAACAAAAGCGCCTTTGCCTTTTGTTAACTGTGTGACCTTGGGCAAGGGATTTTGCTTCTGTGCCTCAGTTCACCCATCTGTAAAAAAGGGGGTGACAGTGGTGCTTACCTCACAGAATTGCGGGCATCCCCAGGGCCTGTCGCCCAGGGTGGGCACTGAGTGCAGCCGCTCCAGCCCACACCTACTGCAGTCGCATCTCTTGCCGCAGTGATGCCACCGTTTAGGCCCGGAGGCCAGCCTCTGCGCGGCACCAGGCTTTGCCCCCCTTCCAGGGAGAACAGCAGGCAGCGGAAGGGGCTTTGGGTGTCCACAGGGGTTGGGGGGGGCAGCAGTGGGTAAGCAGGAGCCACAGCTTGCCCAGCGAGAGGGGGTTAGTGCAGATACAGAGAGAAGAGGGGAAGGCAGAGGTGAGGTGAGGACGGGGCAGAGCTGAGGGTCCAGAGGACTCTAAGGAAGGTCCCCAGGCTCCCCCCTGTGGTGGAGAGAAGAGCCCATGGCCTTGGTCCCGGCCCCCTCCTCCCCTGCAGCAGAGGACAGAGCCTTCGCGTGAAATGGAAGAAGGTCCCTCACTTCCATGTGAACATAGCACGTTTGAGGCTGGGTTTCCACTCCCACTTGCCTCCTGGGGCCGGAGGCCCTTGTGCAGCGAGCAGCCTGCGCAACTGCACATGATGAGCGTGGATCCCACTCAGCGTGCTTGGACTGGGAATGCCAACCCCCACCCCACCCCACCCCGCTGTTGTGGTGCTTGTGGTCATCCAGGAGCGGCGTCGCCATGTTACAACAGGCCAGGGAAGAGGAAGGGACTCCATTGGCGGCTGGGTGGACACAGAGGAAGAGACAGGAGAGGGACCTCCATGGACCTCCAGCTGGGTGACGGGGAGGGGACAGTCTCCGCTGGTTAGGCCCAGGGCCTGCCACCTGAAGACCTGGCTCTGTGAAGGCTCCTGTCACAGCCAAGGACACGTCACCCATGTCGGGCGGTGCGACCCGCCGCTCGGAGGCCCCTTGCCCCGCCCTCCCCAGGCATCAAAGCAGGTCCTTGCCGCCTGCCTAGTGTCCCGCGCCTCCTCGAAGCCCGGGCTCAGAACCCTCCACGGAGGGTCACTTCTGGATGTTGGGAACGTACCCCCCCACCTCCCTCCCTGGCATCTTATCTGCATAAAACAAGAGGCGCGTGGCATCCAAGATACTTGGCTGGAGGTGCGTTCCTGTGGGAGCCCCGTCCTCGTTGCCACCATCGGTACCTTCCCGGACCAGCCCCGTGGGCGTGGCCATACCAGGCGGCCTCTCAGACCCTCGGCCATGACGGGCCCAGAGACCCCATCTGGGAGGCGGGAGGATGGAGACTTGAGAGCAGGCCCCCGGCCAGCCCTGGCCTGGCCCGCATCCTGCCTGGAGAAGGCCCCTCCCGGTGCCCTGAAGCCCCCTTCTCGCTGCTCAACCTGCCTCTATTTCCCTGCGTGAGGCTCTGTTCCGACCCTCCCCCGTAACTTCGGCTCAGGGGCCTCGAGGCAGCCGATGACCAGGACCCGGACGATGCTGTGTCCGGGGTGGGCCAGGTGACACCCCTCACCCCCGGCCACTTGCACACTTGGACAGTGAGGCGACCCAAGAGGCTCCCTGTCTGGACCGGATGACAAGAGAGACGGTCATCCAGGACCCCCGCCCCAGCCCTCTCCCGGGGGGCAGGACACGGAGGCTGAGCCCCGTTCAGCTGGCCCAGCATCTGCCTCCCTGGGGGGAGGCCAAGGGCTGAGAAGACAGAGGCATCTGCCATCCCTCACCCATGGGCACCCGCGCCCCTCCCCCCGCCACCCAGCCCTCGCCCGCAGCTGGCCTCACCCAGATGTGGATTCTCGCCACTTCCTGCCAGTCCAGGGAACGGCTTCACGGGAATCAGAAATATGCAGCGTCGCTGCCCCGAGGCTGCCTGGCTGGACACCAGCAACTGTCCACGCCAGCCCGGCACCCACCGTCCGGGGGCCCCAGCCCCCCGGCCACCATCCTTCCTCTCCCTGCCGCCCCCGCCCAGAAGCCTTGTCTTTAAAGGCCCGGCTTGGGTGTGGGACGGGTCCATGGAGCCAGAGTCTCAGAGTTAGTGTGGAGGGGAGCGTGCTGTCCCGCGCGGGCCACCGGGGCTCCTAGGGGGACTCGGCCAGCAAGCGGCCACCCCGGCGGAGTCAGGACCAGGCCATCGCCGGGAGCCTCGGCAGGTCCTGGTCAGGTGTGCGGCACCTCCCTGGCTCTCAGCTCCCAGGAAAGCCCACCCTGGGCCCGTCTGCCTCCTCGGGCTGGGACACAGGGGGTCATGTGTCCCCGGCCCAGCTGCGAGCCACCCGGAGAGGCAGACGGGGAGGGCTCAGACTGCTTCCTGCCACACCGGGACAACCGAACATCCGGGCCACCACGCTTCGCCCGCAGGACGCCCCCGTGTGGATTAGAAAAGGCACCCGCTCGCTGAGGAGGAGAGAGCGGGGCCTTCCAGATGCTTCTATCCCAGGAAACAGCTGCAGGCAGGCATCCAACACCCTCCCCTTCCCCCTGCAGACGTGGACGAATGTCAGCGGAGACCCAGAATCTGCAAAGGCCGCACCATCTGCGTCAACACCCAGGGCGGCTACACCTGCAGATGCCCACCCGGCTTTAAGCACGACAAGACAGACCCGAACACGTGCTCAGGTAGAGGCCCCGGAAGACGCTGTGAGGCTGCGCTGGAGCTGGGAGGGGCCAAGGCAGAGGAGCCCGAGGAGCCCGAGGAGGAGGGAGAAGACCCTTGGGTTCCTGAGACGCTAGGGGTTTGCTCTGCCCAAGGATCTGCCTCCCCACAAGGTCCACCACAGAGCGGGGAGGTAGCAGGGCCTTCTGGGCCTGGGGTTCCCTCGTGGGGCCCCCCGGCCTCTGTGAGCATCCCCTGGTCTCGCCCCTTCCTCATCTGCCGCATGGGAGCAGGGGGAGGTGTCACTTCCAGTCCCTGGAAAGGAGGCTGGGCCAGAGCTGGGGAGGGAGTAGCCGACAGCCCTTGGAAAGAGAGTCCAGTCCCTATGACTCAGTTTCCCTCCTGGTTTCACAGCCTATGAACTGAGGACCATGGTCCCTGCCATGCCCATCTTGCAGGGAGACCATCATAGGGTGCACTGAGATCGAAGTCGAAGGTCGCCAGGTGGCAGCACGTGCAATAACAGCAAGGGTCCCTGATGCTGGGCAGTGAGAAGTGGGTGCAGCCAGTGGAGGGGACCCTGACCCTCTGGCTTTGTCCTCAGACGTGAATGAATGTACCTCGGGGCAAAGCCCGTGCCACCGCACCACCCACTGCCTCAACACCATGGGGAGCTATGAGTGCCGCTGCCGCCCCGGCTGGAAGCCCATTCCCGGGTCCCCCAATGGCCCAAACAACACCATCTGTGAAGGTCCAGAACTCAGATGCCACGTCCTGGAGACCCACACTCAGAACCCCTGATCGCATATTCAGTGGCACCCACACAAACCAAGCCAAATGAATGCTGGCGGCACCCTGCTGCACCAGGCGTTAATTCTTTTGAGGCTCGATGGGAAAAAGTCTAGTGGGGGTCTCGAGGAAGAAGCTGGGGTACTGAGGAGTAGGCTCCTTGGAGACCCTGGCGGCCACTAATTACTCACTGGGATTTCAGTATTTCACAACCTGCACATCTGTACAGGGCTCACGTGCTAGGTGTCAGGCCTTGCCGCATTTCCTGTAACTCCTGCATCACCAGGATGTGGGGGTCAACAGGTGACGTCACCTCCAGCCAAGGTGGGAGGTACTAATATGGGGAAAAAGCAGGTGGGACACGGAAGGAGGGGGCCTGACTCCCCCCTTTGTGTCCCCAGATGTGGACGAGTGCCGCCCTGGACAGCCTGCGTGCCACAACTCCACCGTCTGCGTCAACACTCTGGGCTCATACAGGTGCCGCTGCCGCCGTGGCTGGGAGCTCAAACCCGGATTCCAGAATATGCAGCCAAACACTACCTGTCAAGGTACCTGGTCTGAGCTGACCCCAGACACCATCCCACCCTCCCCACCGCAGACACTCGCACACCTAATAAACGGCTGTTCTATCCCCTGCAGAGATGGCCTTCCCCCCCTGGACCCCACCCCCTGGAATGCAGAGCCAGGTGAGTGGCCCCAGCAGGGACCGGGAGGCAGGGATCCCTCTGCGCAACTCGCCTGGGCTCCCAATTCCCCTCCCTCCCCCCCCCCCCACCACGCGAGTCCCTCTGACCTGCCTCGTCTCCTCTTCCCAGACACTCACCAGCTTCTTTGAAAAAATCCAAGCTCTGCGCAGAGACTTCAAGCCAGCCTTGGCTCAGGACACCATCCAGGTAAGAGCAGGAGCTGGGGGGGGCCCGTGGACAGTGTGGGGGTGGCGGAGGGATGCTTCCGTGTGGGCGGGGACAGCCCAAGCAGGGGTTACACAAACACAAACACAAGCACAACCGTCAAAGCACACACGTGCACGCACACTGGAGAGGAACAGAATCTCCACAGAATGGAGCAGTTAAGAACTTCGCCTCCATGGATAGGCCACAAGGCTTCAAATCCCCCCTCATCCCACGCACCCCTACCCCACCAACTGCCACTTTCTGCTGTGTGACGTCAGGCAAGTGAGTCCCCCTCTCTGGGCCTCAGTCTCCTCAACTGAAAATAGTGCCTGCTCTCTACAGTTGGTTTGAAGGCTTCTGTAAACTAAAAGGAGCAAAGCCCAAAGAACAGTGCCTGACACACAGGGGCCATTATGTGTCCATTCTCGCCCGTGTGCTACGCTGGGTAGAAATACATGAGCCCTTAGGTCATTTTAAAATCTTCCCGGACTGGGGCACCTGGCTGGCTCGGTCAGAGGTGGTGTGCAACTCTTGGTCTCGGGGTTGTGAGTTCAAGCCCCATGTGGGGTGTAGAGGCCGCTATAACAATTTTTAATTACAAAAAAAAAGAAAACTGAACATTTCCAGTAGCGACATTAAAATAAACAAGTAAACAGGTGAAATGTACTTGAAGATTGCGTGTAACCCAGCAGATTCGAAATCCTTCCCGTTTCAACGCGGGGCCACATTTTGAGTGATCAATAGCCACACATGCCTCGTGGCAACGTTGCCTGACAGCACAGACTTAGAGCCTGGGAGGAGGCCCGTGCCCGTGCCCCGGGTGAGCCCAGGCGGTTCTGCGTGTCCCTCGGGAGAGGGGGCTGAAGTCCCACGGGGCAGCCACCCACCAGCTATCACCCACCACACTCAGGAACTCATCGAGTCAGTGGATGTCATGCTGCATACTCCCGGGGACCTAGAGGACTTGTCCCTGCCTGAAAGGCACAAGGTGGCCACCCACCTCCTCTCTGAGCTTGAGAGAGTCCTGAGGACCCTGGCCAAGGCCATGCCCGGAGCCTCCTTCACCTACCATTCCCCTCTGAACACAGGTGAGACCTCGCCCTGCCCTGGGCCTTATGGGGCACCCAGAGCCCCCAGTCACTGTCCCCTTCTCCTCAGAGCTATCCCTGAAGATCCAGGAGCGAGGGGATAAACAGGCCACCATAGGCCAGAGACACGCACGGATGTCGCTGGACTGGGATGCGGCAGCTACAGCCAGCGACTCAGGTAGCGGCGGGGATCTGGAGGGGACTCCCATGGGGGAGGGGGAGCAGGAGCGGGAAGGTGGCGAGGGGTGAAATTCTGAATATGCAGCAACTGGAATCCGACCTGTCGCCAGGGACCCCAGGCATCACGCTGTCCTGGAGGGCCTGAGTCAGACGCCCTGGGAGGGAGGATGAGGCGTGGGGGGAGGCAGGGCGGAAGGTGGTAGCCAGCCTCTCTGCCCCCCAGACCCCACCATGATGGGCATCCTCTCCAGCTGTGAAATACGGAAATTGCTGGCCAAAGCCTCCTTGGAGCTGGACCCTGAGAAGAAAGATAAGCTAAAAAATACCCTGGGACATCCCGTCTATGGAACCCAGTCCAAGCTCTTCTCAGCCGTCAACTTGGTGTTTCTGAGCAACACAGACACCGAGCACCTTGACTCCCCGGTCACCTTTGCCTTCTCCCACCCTGTGAGTCCTTGGTGGGGAGGGGAGGGGGGAGGAGGAATCAGTGCAACCCTTACCCCTTAGCCAAGGTCACAGAGGTTCCTCTGTAGCCTTCATTTCTCTCCTCTGCTTCTTCCTCAAACGGACCTCAGGGCCTTTGCACTTGCTGTGCCCTCTATTGGGACACACCTTCTCCCATGTGACTCATCCTCTACCTGGTTCTAGTCTTTGTTCAAATGTCACCTCCTCTTTTAGGCCTTCCCTGACCTCCTTATTTAAATCTACAATCTGTAATCATGCCTCACCTTCCCCTATGCTGTCTGCCTTTAATAGCATGTGTTACCTTCTAACACCCCATCTAGTTTCCTTATCAGGTCTATTGCTTACATCTGTCTCCCCCACTGGCATGCCGACCCCGAAAGGGCAGGGACTTGTGTCAGCCCTGTTCATTGCATGCCAGACCAGGGGACACAATAGAAGAGGTGCTCGGTAAATACTTGCCAAATGAAGAACAGCCCTCCTCGGGCTCAACCCCAGCCCAGGACCCAAGAGTGGGCCCTGGGCTAACCTCTCTGACCGTTGCCACGTGCCTGCAGACGAAGACCACTGAACCGCAGCAGGAGCTGGTCTGTGCCTTCTGGAAGAATGACGGGCGGGGCGGAGGGCACTGGAACACCACGGGCTGCTGGACCCGGGGCACCGGGAACCACAGCACCACCTGCCAGTGCAGCCACCTGAGCAGCTTTGCCATCCTTGTGGCCCACTACGACATACAGGTGAGCAGCCTGGGGCCGCCCTCCCGCACCCACAGGCGGCAGGTTTGGCTTCCGTGAGACAGACGGCTGGTTCTCGATGGCGCAGTCCAAGTGCCTCAATATGGTCACACAGCCCCATGGTCCCACGCCATGCCCCCCCAGCCCCTTCCCTGGGACCCACCCCCACCCTGAGGGCTCCCCATGGCCCAGCAGCCGCTCTGACTAGCGCCCGAGTGTCCACCAGGAATGGGTTGTTAAATAATCACTAAAATCCCCAAAGGGAGTACGACGTTCTGTATGCGGCTTCAGACATCCACGGATAAGCTGGGCCACGTGTTTAACTGGAATGGGCCAGGCAGAGTAGGGGAGGCCCTTGACCAGGCCAAAGGCCCAGAAAGGACAAAAAGGTGGGCTTCAGTGAGTTGACAGACGTGGCCAGGTGTAGGAGGGGTAGAACTTGAGATGAGAGAGGGTCAGAGAGGTGGGACCCTTCGTGTTGGAAAAGAAGAACGTGGCCTTGAGGCCTAGCCTGGGGAGGCCCATCGGGAGGAACTGGGGGCCCCTGGTGCATCCATGGTTGTGTGTGTGTGTGTGTCCCAAGAGGGAGGGGGGGAGGCGGGTGTTTAGGAAGAGACACAAAGCAGGTTTGCTCAAGTGTCGAAGGCAGAGGACGTTGGGGGAGGGCAGGCCTGATGGGTCTGGGTGCTGGAGCCCACAAGGAGGGCGGGAAGGCCTCAGGGCGCTCGCCGCCTGAGCCCCACGCACCCCGTCCTGCCCTAGGACCCAAAGCTGGAGCTGATCACCACGGTGGGGCTCTCGCTGTCGCTAGTCTGCCTGCTGCTCTGCATCCTCACCTTCCTGCTGGTGCGGCCCATCCAGGGCTCGCGCACCACCGTGCACCTGCACCTCTGCCTCTGCCTCTTCGTGGCCTATGCCATCTTCCTGGCAGGCATCAAGAACGACGGGGACTGGAACAGCCAGGTGAGCTCTCACCTCCCCCAGAACCCCCACCTGGAGAAGTCCCCAGCGGGGTGCAAGCCAGAGGGCTTCGGCGGCCTGGGGCTGCGCTGCCGCCTGGTGGCCGGACTGCTGCACTACTGCTTCCTGGCCGCTTTCTGCTGGATGAGCCTCGAAGGGCTCGAGCTCTACTTCCTGGTGGTGCGCGTGTTCCAGGGCCAGGGCCTGAGCAAGCGCTGGCTCTACCTGATCGGCTACGGGGTGCCCCTGCTTATCGTGGCCATCTCCGCGGCCGTCAGACACGAGGGCTACGGCCGCAACACCTAGTAAGTGCAGGGTGGCGGTCCCACAGGAGGGAGGGCAGGGGACCAGTCCTAGCCATGGTGTCCCTCCCCTCTGGGGCACTGACAGGACCCTCTCTTTTCACCCAGTTGCTGGCTGAACCCAAAGAGTGGCTTCCTCTGGAGCTTCCTGGGACCTGTGATCTTCATTGTCCTGGTAACCGCCCCCGCCCCACCCTGAGCGCAGCTGCGCACTACGCCAGCTGTCCCCTGTGGTCCCCCTGCGGTCCCGGAGAGTCTCCCTAATGCCAATTCCATGCCCCTCCCCCCTGCCCACCCCCGCAGTGCAATGCCGTCATCTTCGTCATTACGGTCTGGAAACTCTCGCAGAAGTTTTCTGAGATCAACCCCGACATGAAGAAACTTAAGAAGGCCAGGTGAGAGTGGGGGCCAGGGAAGAGGCTGGCAGGGAGCAGAGGGTGTGTGGGAACCCCCCCACTGCACGCCTGTCCTCTGTGCAGGGTGCTGACCATCACGGCGGTGGCTCAGCTCTTCGTGCTGGGCACCACCTGGGTCTTCGGCCTGTTCCTCTTCGACCCGCTGAGCTGGGTGCTGTCCTACACCTTCACCATCCTCAACTGCCTGCAAGGTTTCTTCCTCTACACCCTCCACTGCCTGCTCAACAAGAAGGTGAGCTGCGGCCGGGGTGGGCCAGGGGCCAGCCCCCTGCCCCGGGGCCTGCCCCTTCCCTAACCTGGCACCCTGGGCCCCACAGGTGAGGGAGGAGTACCGGAAGTGGGCCGGCTGGGTCACCGGGAGCAAGTACTCGGAGTTCAGCACCTCTTCATCCAACCAGACGCAGGTAAAGGCTGAGCCTAGGGAAGCAGTGCTGGGCCCAAGGGCACGAGCCCGGGCCCCGTGCTCACAGTGCGCTTCCTCACCAGGCCCACAGGTCTTCAGAGTCTGGCATGTGACAGCGCGGTCCCCACAAGGAGGTCCTGCGGCCTCAGCAGCTTTTGCACATGTCAAAGACGGTCCCCTCCTCTCTCCCCACTCTGCTCCCTCCGCCAGCCTGCCCTGGGCCCCCACGTGCAGCACAGAAAGCAGGGGGCAGCCGCTGTCGTCTAGCACTGAAGCCCTGGAAGCCCAGCCGGGTGGGGAGTCAGACTCACTGGGCCTGCTTCTGGCTGCCCCGCCCCCCCACTGCCCTACGCCAGCCCGGACCCAGGGCGAGGGCAGGAGCCGGCCCGGGGCAGCAGCCCCTTCCCCTGCTCCACAAGGCCTGTCGGACTGAGGACCCCTTCCCCTCATCCGTCTCTGCTCCGAAACAGAAGGTCAGGGTGCTGGGGATCTGGCTGCCCCTTAAGCTAGAAGCCTGAGGCCAGGGGTGGGGGAAGGCCGAGCCCCTCCCAGCCTCACAGCCTGAGGCTCACGGTACAGAGACCCATCCGCCCCTGGAGGCAGAAGGCTCTCACTTGTTCTGACGATTATGGATGTTGTATGTTTTTTTTTTTTAATCTGTATATAAACTGTGCAATGTTGACACATAACATTAAAGAGCCTACTGATAGACAGTGGCTGTGGAGCTCCCTGGCCAGGCTGCGACACCCTCAAAACGCTGAGAGGCGACCGACAGGCGGGGCGGGAGCCAGACTTCCATAATAAAACTTTACTCCTACACAAATCTACAGCTTGTAAACAGTAAAAAGGGAGGCCCCGCTGGTGCCTAGAAAGAGGACTCGAAGTGGTGCTCAGGAGCCAGGGCGGTTCTGCCCGTCAGGTGCGAGGTTACCGGCTCTGCTCAACTGCAAGACACACAGAGGGCAGGCTGGTGAGACAGGCAGAGGGTCCCCGCTGGGGCCCCGCCCCCGGCCCTGCCCTGTACTTACTGTACGTAGAGATGTCGATTTCCTCGGGAAGTTCTGCCACATTCACTTCAAACCTGTCCTGCACGTCGTTGAGGATTTTGGCATCGTTCTCATCCGACACAAAAGTGATGGCTAGACCTTTGGTCCCAAAACGTCCTGCACGGGCCACCTGCAGGGTGACAGGAGCAGGGAGTCGGGGGGGGTGGTTTGAGGTCACAGAGACACAACGTGGGGACCACCCTGGGAGGGGGCCGCTAGGGAGGTCACCCCTCTGCAGGCCACTCACTCGGTGGAGGTAGGTGTCTGAGTCTTCCGGCATGTCATAGTTGAAGACGATGTTGACTCGCTCGATGTCCATCCCTCGACCAAACAGATTGGTGGCCACCAGGATCCGCCGCTGGAAGTCTTTGAACTGCTGATAGCGCGACAGACTAGGTGCAGGAAGAACAAGAGGCGGCCGTCAGGCCTGGGGGCCCTGAGCAGCACCCTGCCTGGGGGGTGGGCGGCGCGCACTCACCGCTCCTCCTGGGCCATGCCCCTGTGGATAGCGATGGCCGGGAAGTTCTGCTCCACGAGGAGCTGCGCCAGGGCCATGCAGCGCTGCACGGACTTCACGAAGATCACCACCTGCGGGGGGTGGGGGCGGCGGCAGGGAGCAGCGGTCAGGGCCAGAGCCCCCGTGCACCAGCCTCGCAAAGGCCCCAAACCCCCCAAGACAGGCCACGCAGTGTCACCTGATTAAACTCCAGCACGTCCAAGAGATCAAACAGCTTGCGGTTCTTCTCGCTGTCCTTGAGCTTGACGTAGTACTGCTGAAGCCCGTGCAGCGTGAGCTTGGTCTCATCGTCTACAAACACCTCCATGGGCTGTGCAGGAAGGGGCGGGCGGGCCTTACTTCTGGGCGTCTTGCCTGCCCAGAACCTTCCAGTGAAGGACTCCATGCTGCGACGCTTCCCAGAGAGCCTGCCGTACCCCGGTAAATGCCTCTCCCAATCGCTGACCTGAGCTCAGGTCTGACTCAGGTATAGACCAAGCTCAGCTCCCAATCTGACAAGACACAGGAGGGAAGGAAGGCTCTGGGGCCTCCCGGCATCCTTGCGCGGTGAGCACGGTGTGGGCGTCCCGGAGCAGCCGCAGCCCAGGACACGGAACCGAGGAAGGGCCAGAGCGGCCGCGCCGAGGCCGAGGCAGCCGCCCCAACCTACTCACGTCTTGCATGAACTTCCTGCACACTGGCCTGATCTCCTTGCTCAGGGTGGCGCTGAACATCATGCACTGCTTCTCGTGGGGTGTCAGGCGGAAGATCTCCTGCACGTCCCGCCGCATGTCTGAATGGGGAGGGCAAGAAATGGGGGCGGTGCCCGGCAGACAGCGGCCCCCACCCGAGGCCAGCCCCAGCTCCTCCCAACCTGTGCCAGGGAGCCGTTAGCGCCATGACGAGGGCGGTGTGAGCCGAGTGGAGGGAGGGGTGAGTCCCAGGTGCCTGAGGGGCTGGACTCGGGGCGAGCGCAGGCGCGGGAGGAGCTGCCGTCCACTTACACGCCGCCAGAGCGGAGCAGCCGTGCCAGCGCCCTCGAGCCTCGCTTCAGGGAGGGGAGCCTGAGGCAGAGACAGCCGCTGGGGTGAGAGCTGCAGCTGCCTCCCGGGACGCGAGCCCCATCTCCCACTGGCCCCGGCGGGGCACGCTGAGGGCAGAGCTAGGCCGACGGGCGGCGAGGCTAGCATTCGAGGGCTAGCACGCGCGCCCGGACTCACTCAGCTCGGGCTCAAGAGCAGGTCGCTCTGCCGACGCCACGGCTCTCCCTGAAGTCATTTACAAAGCCCTGGGGGCCAGTTACCCACGTGAGCCTGCTCAGGGGCACCTTCAGCCTGCCCTGCCGGGGCCCACCTGGCTCTGAAGTCTGGGGCTGCGAGGGGGTAGGTTTAGGGGGGGCCTCCAGCCGCTCCCGGACCCCAGCGGGCCACTCACCCAGCTGCTCCAGCATCTTGTCGCATTCGTCCAGCACGAAGTGCTTCACGTTCTTCAAGTTAAGGCTCCTGTTGCGCACGAGGGCCAGGATGCGGCCGGGCGTCCCCACCACCACATGAGGACAGTTCTTCTTCAACACCTCTTCGTCCTTCTTGATGGAAAGGCCCCCGAAGAACACAGACACCTGCACACGAGGAGAGAGCTGCTTTCACCTGTGTAAGGGCTGACGGGCACCCAGCCCGAGGGCCCGCCAGCTCACAGCCTAGCGCCCGGGGGCCAGAGTGGTCGGAGCGCCTGGCCAGCACTCCAGTGCAGAGCAGCCCCACGGCTGGGATCAGCGCAGGCCCCTGGAGGCCATGCAGGATCCATCAGGCTTCTAAGGAGCACGAACCACCGCAAACCTCAAAGGCGGCCGGCACAGCCAAGCCTGGAAACTCCGGCTGGGCTGGAGCCTGGCGGCAGTGGCACTGCAGGGGACGTACGGCACACGCGGCCCGCGGGGACGCACCTTGACAGTGGGCATGTACTTGGAGAAGCGTTCGTATTCCTTGCTGATCTGGAATGCCAGCTCCCGAGTGTGACACATGACCAGGACAGTCACCTGCAGGTGGAAGACAGACCCCTCAGGCAGTGTCCCAAGTCCTACCCCAGCCGGAGCCCAATCTAGTGCTCTCCCCTGGGGGCCCCTGCCCACCGGGCTCCTACACCCTAAGGGTGCCTGCCACGCTGCTCCCTGAGGCTCTGGCCACTGCAAGGTGCGGCCCGGACGCTGGGGCTTCTCCCCGCCCTTCAGCTGCCACTCACTCCCTACGCCCCCTCGGCTGCTGTGCCGACAGCCTCCCGAGTCTGCTCTCTGGCCGGCCCGTGAGCATCATGGGAGGCCACTCCTGCCTTCAGGCCACGCCGCCAGGAGCCGCGACCACAGCTCAGCCTGCCACTGAACCTCCCTCTCCTTCACCGTCAACCCTAAGGAGACAAGGGCTCGCTGCCCACACGCAGCCCGTGGACGTACGCCGCAGCGTGACAAAAACACAACATGGGAATGCACCTCATTCTCCTCCAACAAAATGCACCTGAGGGGAAGCAAGTATCGGCGGCAACAGCAGAAACCGAACGCCGTCAGGCACGATCTCCCCCACGTCAATACACGCACTCTAGAAACGCACGTGACAAAACTAAAGCTGGGAATCCGAGGAGTAAAATCGTGGGCGCGCTTCTCAGTTTCTCCTTTTGGCCTATCATTGGGGGGGGCAGGGGGTCACATCTAAGTGCTGTACTTAATCTTCAGAGCCCACGAAGAGAACCCAGCAACAGGAAGGTCTGACAAGCGGAGCCGCAGCCAGTGACGCTGCAGGTCGCTGGGCCCAGCCGGGAAGGCACCACCCACCTGCCCGTTGACGGGCTCAATCTGCTGCAGGGTGGCCAGCACGAAGACCGCCGTCTTGCCCATCCCGGACTTGGCCTGGCACAGGACGTCCATGCCCAGGATGGCTTGGGGAATGCACTCGTGCTGGACTGAGGGAGAGAGCGCGTGTGAGCGACCAGAAACCGATGCTCCCCCCCTGCAGGCTCCTCGCCAGGCGGCTGCAGAGGCCACAGAGAGGGTGGCCAGAGGAGGCGCCTGGCAGGGAGAGCTGGGGAGCCGTACCCTCAGACGGGTGCTCAAAGCCACAGTCCACGATGGCCCTCAGAAGCTCTGGTTTCAGCAAGAAGTCCCGGAAGCCAGAGCTGTGGATGGAAACATAGGAGCCCTTGACGTCTTTCTTGGGGGGAGCTGGGGTGCTCTCCGGGGGCGCCTGGGGCTCTTCATCTTCCTCATAATCCAGAAGCTCGTTCTCCACATCCTGTTCTGCCATCGTGCTGGGAACAGAGGAGAGAAGAAGGGCGAGGGAGGCGAATGAGACGGAGATTAAGAAAACTCGCCATCGGGGGGTAGACGGCCGGCAGCTGCAGTCCCCACTAACGCAGGTCCAGGAGGGCAGAGTCGCCACTCTGACCCCTCACACTCCCCCAAACTCCTGCACAAAGTCCCACCGCTCAGCCTGGGCCGCCTCCCAGCCTCGGCCATACATGCACACACCCCTCCGGCTCCCAGGCTTCCCTCCGCTCTCACAGCCAGACCCCCACACTTGCCCACGGCCCTGGCACACCTCGCTCCATGGCTCCCCTTGCAAACCACCCCCCGCCTTGTGTGCCTGCTCAAACTCATCAACCCCACACAGTCGCGGCACCAGGGAAACTCTAATAAAGCCCAGCCCACCCAAGCCAGAGCCCCTTCCCAACACTCTGCAAGGAGCAGAACAGGCAGCATAGTGTGGGACCCCAGGGACCAGGAGGTGCGGCTGCCGGAGCGCTGGAGCGCAGGAGGCCTGACCGCTACGTGCGGTCAGCACAGGGGAGAATTAAGTGCTCTCGTGAGCAGGCTTCCCACTGGGCCTGGGCCCATAAAACCAAAGTTGAGACAATAAAGGGAATTAATACAGTTTGCTCGCTTCCTGCCTTACTTAGTCCCGTACGGGCTCAGCACCTACTGGGGGCAAGCTCTAAGGGCCCCAAATGGGAGAATGTGGCCTTCCACCCTCCCCACTCCATCCAGCCTCCACGTCTAGAGGAAGTGCTGAAGCAGCCCCTCTTCTTTCTGAGCTGGGTGTGGAGGGTCGTGGGCCCGCTTTCTGGCCTCTTGCCACTCATCCGCTCTGTGACCTCATCCAGCCCCGCGGCTTAACCACCTCTGCGCGGAGGCCTCCCAAACTTGTGTCTCTATCGGGCAGCAGCTCCCCTCAACACTGCCTCCCCAACTCTCCCCTCCAAAGGGGAACTCAAAATACGGAGAGCAAACCCTTTTTCTTCCTGCAGGCCTGCTTTTCAGAAGCGGCAATTCTGTCCTCTCACTGGCTCTTGCTCTCTCTCCCCCATCCAATCAGCCAACAAATCCCACAGGGCGATCTGGCCACTGCTTGCCCCTCGACCTCACTGGTCCCAAGCCACCTCCTTTCACTTTTAAAATCAGAACAGCTTTGCTGAGATAGTCACATGGTCTATCATTCACCACTTACAACGTCCACTATATTGGTTTCTAGCTTTTAAAATTTATTTTCAAAGCAAGAAAGCACACAAGTGGGGGGGGGGGAGGAGAGAGAGCGAGAGGGAGAGAATCTGAAGCAGGCTCCGCAGTGCCATCAGAGCCCTAGGCAGGGCCCCATCTCAAGAACTGTGAGATCATGACCTGAGGCGAAATCAAGAGTCGGAAGCTTAACCTGATGAACCACGCCGGCACCCCAGTTTTCAGTATTTTTAATGTAGTCAGAGGTAAGTTCAGTGACCACCGCAGTTGGATTCGTTACATACTTCAGTGTGTCTTCAAAAAGCCCAGACCCCTTAACTGTCATCCTTCCCCCCTCAACCCTCTGGGCAACCGTTAACCTACTTTCTTTTGGATGAATTTGCCCATTTGGCCATCCGTCCACTTTGTGGGACGCTCCTTCACGTGGCTGAACCTTCCCCTGGGCAGGCTCCCCTTTTTCCGCGGTCAGCCGATGGGCTCGGGGGCACCGTCATCTCCTGCCTGGATTATGCCAATGGTCTCCTCACTGTCTCACCGTTTCCCACCCCCTCCATCTTCCTCTCCCCACAAAAGCCAGGTCAGAAAACGCTTGGACTCCCCCACAGGCTCCTACCGGGCTCAGAATAACACTCATGAGTCCTCAGCATGACCTCCAGCCCCTGCAAACTGACCCCCCCCCCCACTCCACATTCAAACCCCATTTCCACTGCCCTCACTCGCTGGCCTTGTTGCTGTGCCACAGACATGCCTCAGCACCCTGGCACCTGCCATTCTCGCTGCCGGTAATGGCCCTGCATCCCCCCACTTCCTTCAGGACTCCTGCTCCAGAAGGCGTTTCTGGCACCTCCCACCTAAAAAAGCACCCTTTTTTAGGTCATGCCTGGCAGCCCTTTGTTCCAACCCAGAGCCTAATACACACAAGCACTCAAAAGCAATGGCTCAGAGAATAAAATTAAAATCAAGGCCTTAAAGCAGAATTTAGGGGCTAAGCCGGCATATGCCCTTCTGATTCTTGAAAAAGGCAATCTGAACAAGAAGGGGTTCCTTCCCTGGCAGCAGAGAAAAGAGGAGCCAGGGAAGGTCAGTGTCCAAGCAACACGCCCTTCTGGGGGAAACGGAGAGCAAGACCGGCTGCTGAAGTCAGGCAGAGGACAGAGCAGGGAAAGCTGGTCGGACCGCGGGCATTCATACTTTCTTCTCGAACAACAGGGAATCACTAATCGGGTTTTTGAGGTGAGTACTGCCCAGCCCAAGGGCAATTTGCTCTAGACCAGAAGACGAGTGGGGATGGAAACCAGCAGCAGGGAGAACCGGTCACCAGGTGAGAGGATTGGCTAGGGCGCGGGTGTTAGGAGGGAAGAACAAAATGGTACACTCAACAGGGCAGGGCCGTCTCCGGGGTAATCCCCGGGCAGATAACAGCTTAGAGTCACCGACCCTGAGCTTCAAACCCGGGAGACGGAGTGGAGACAGTGTATTCAAAAGGAGCATAAAGGTCAAGTGCATTCGTTCCGTTCTTATAGCTGACAGGTTCAAGGACAGCCTGAGTCTGAGGCACAAGATTTTCTAGGAAGTGGCTAGATAGTGCCTAAAACTCAAAACAAGCCAGATAGGGAGAGAACTGGAGGGGTCTGTCCCACCCAGCTGGGGTGGCTGCGGCGGTTGCGGCGCCAGGAACAGATACACTTGAAAGCTGACACCCGGAAAGTGACAGGCCTACGGTACCCATTCATTCTTAAGCGCCCCCCAGGGAAGATTTCACCCTCAGGCTTTGCCTCTGAGACATCTTTTTTATTCCAAATCTCTGGAACCCCGAATCCCGTGCACATATAGCAAAAGCATGGGGGGAGGGTGTGTGTGGAGGCGAGTCCCCCAACTCGGAGAAACCTAACGCATCTACAGGCTCGGGATTCTCCCACCGCAACTCCGGACCCCGCCGTCCGCCGCCCCGAGTCCCTCCCCAAACGGCCCAGGGGGTCTCCTCTGACAGACGGACTTTCTCCCCAAGTCGGGTTCCACCCGCGGGCCGCCATGACAGCCACTTCCGGAAGCGGGAACGATCCCAGGGCGCCAAGAGCTGCCGCGGCCCCCCGCCCTTGCGCATGCGCTATGCCGTTCAACGGCCGCTGCCGCCCGCGGCGGCCGCCCCAACCGCCCCGCCTCGTCTCGCGCCCCCTCCTCCTCATCCTCCCCTCAACTCCCAGGGTCTCCCCTCGCCCGCTCGCCTGCAGGCCTGGCGGCCCCGCACCGCTGTCCCGCGCCCCGGGTCCATCGCTCACCTGGGTCTCCGTTCGCCTCCGCGTGCGGTGAGGAATGCCGTCCGACTCTGGTTACCGGTCTCGCGCCCCGACACGAGCCGCGGCGCTTCCTGCCTCCTGCGTCGGACTGCGGCTCTGCTCACTGGGCTGCCGGCATTTCATTCAAGAAGGGCGGAAGCGGTGATTGGATCCTGCAGGAGGCGTCTGGAATCTATTGGCGGAGAGAGGAAAGAGGGCGTGCCCCATGCCTCGGGTTCATTGGTCAATCTAAAAGTAGGCGCCCTGGCCGGAGGCCGACGTGAGCCCGTGCGCTGTCACGTGATTGGGGGCTCTTCCGTCGGTGGGCGTCGACATATTTAGTCCTGACAGCGGAAGCCGGCTTGACCTGCCTGCGGGCTGTGTGTCATCTTTGTGTTACGTGGTTTCTACGCTCGAACTCAGGGCTTTCGAAGTGGGTATCGACCCGCGGCTTCTTGGTTCTCCAGGATGAGCCTCTGAAAAGGTCCTGAGAAGGACTGGGAGGTCGGAATGCCCCCAACGTGCAGAGGACAGTCTGCACCCGCAAGTGGCGCCGGGACCATTCAGGGCCCGGAGAGAAATGCTCCTGATCAACGTCTCGCATTTGCTGACAGTGTTGTCCTGGGTCAGACTCTGGACTAGTAGCCAGGCAGGCTCAGGCCACAGACCCCGAACCAGGATGTTTCGGCCATGAAACTTGTTTAATTTTAATTTTTCCTTGTATTACATTTTCCGAACCTTATCCTCCTCCCCCTGCCTCTTACTTTACGGAGGTAAAACTTCTAAGAAAAGGTCCCCCGAGTTTTCAAGATTGACAGGCGACTGACAATTGCCCGGGGAAGATAGAGAACGTATCCATCACCCCCAGAAAGTTCTGTCGTGCCCCTCCCAGGTCAACCACACCCTTTCCCCCTCACCTCATCCAGGCAAAAACCCTCTGTGAATTTCTATCACCGTCAATGAGTTCTGATCTCAAATTTGAGATAAACAGCATCACGCAATAGGTGGCCTTTCATATCTGGCTTCTTTGGCTCAACAAAATGGTTCTGACATTTGTTGCTGCGTGTTTTTGTTTCGTTTTGTTTTGTTTTCCTTGCTGAGTAGTGGTTGACCCTGTGGCTATGATGGGGTTTTGGAGTGATGGTGGGGTTCAGAGCCCACGGCCAAGAAAGAATTCTTGAAGACGTCTATGGTGCAAAAAGGTGATCTTATTAAAGCACAGGGACGGGACTCCGTGGGCAGAAAGAGCGGCTGGGGTGTGAAGAGTGACTGCTTCTTTTTTTTTTTTTTTTAAATGTTTTATTTATTTCTAGGAGAGAGACAGCATGAGCAGGGGAGGGTCAGAGAGAGAGGGAGTCACAGACTGAAACAGGCTCCAGGCTCTGAGCTGGCAGTCAGCACAGAGCCCGACGCGGGGCTCGAACCCACGAACCGCGAGATCATGGCCTAAGCGAAAGTCGGACGCTCAACCGACTAAGCCACCCAGGCGCCCCTAAAGAGTGACTGCTTCTGTACTGTGGAGGTGGGGGAGGTCAAGTCAAGAGGAAGTTTCTTAGAGGGATTTTCCATACGCTAAAGTAGACTCACAGATTCCTGGAGGGCGAGCTACTGTCCAGCTAAGGTGGTTTTTCCTTCTAGCAAAGAATTAGCCTTAAGACAGTAGGGAGTTCCTGGAGATCAGGCCATTGGTAAGAGTGCCCTTGTAACATTACTAAGATGTTTGTAATCTGATGGAGACTCTTTTAGTTTAACCGTTTGTTTTCTGTCCTTCCCTCTGTTCTTGGGCAGCTAGGGGTCCCTGAGAAATGTCACACATATCCCACCTGGGGTGGGGGAAGGGGGTGCTAGCTTGTGCTTTTCCCTCAGCTTGCCTTCTGCTCCCTCATCACTATAGCCCATATAGTTTCTCCTTTCACCCATTAAGGGACATCTCTTTGTTCCTAGTGTTTGGCCATTATAAATGAACTTCGTACAAGTATTTTTATGAACCTAAGTTCACTTCTCTAGGGCAAATGCCTAGAAATGGAATGGTCGACCGCAGGTCACGTGTGCGTTCTGTTTTAAGACATTGTGACAGTATTCCTGAACTGTTCCATTCCCGCTAGCATCCTGTGAAGGTTCCAGTTACTCCCGATCCTTGCTTATACCCGGTATTGTCGGTCTGTCTCAGCTATGTTTGGATTTGGGGATTTGGGGTGGTGGGGGAAAGAGAGGGGAGATAAGCTGGTCAAACATGATAATCCCGCCGCAGAATTCCAGTCTCCCTAAGCTCCTGACACAGTTAAATCTTCCTCCACAGTTCTCCAGGAAGGTTCTAGCCTTTTTTTTCTTTTTAAGTTTATTTTGAGAGAAAGAGAGTGCGAGCGTGAGCGGAGGAGGGGAGGAGATAGAGGCACGGAGAGAGAATCCCAAGCAGGCTCCGCACTGTCAGCGCAGAGCCCCATGTGGGGCTTGAACCCACGAACTGTGAGATCACGCCCTGAGCTGAAATCGAAAGTCAGATGCTCAACAGACTGAACCACCCAGGTGTCCCCCAGGTTCTAGCTTTTCAATTTCATTTAGTGGAAACTGTCTTGGGGCCCATGTTCGAGACAGCAGATTCAGAGCTGACATTGCCAGAAGTCTAACTTCAGCCAGAAAGCCTAAAGAAGAGAAACCAGTCAATGGAGAAGGAAGCTTTATATAATATGAGGTAGATACTGTAGGTAATAATTATCCCATAACACTTATTGAGCACCTCCTGTGTGCCCAGCAAGGCCAGGAAGTGGGTAAGGCATGTAAAATCTAAGGGGGCACCAAAAACTGTCATCAAGTTAAATAATTTAAAATGTTTTTTAATGTTTGTTTATTTTTTAAAGAGAAATAGGAAGAGAAAAACAGTGTGTGACTGGGGAGGGGCAGAGAGAGAGGGAGACACAGAATCCAAAGCAGGCTCCAGGCTCTGAGCCGTCAGCACAGAGCCCGATGCAGGGCTTGAAGCCACAGACCGTGATCATGACCTGTGCCGGACTCCGACGCTTAACTGACTGAGCCACCGAGGAGCCCCTAGATAAACAATTTTAATGCACTATTTTATAATTTTTTCAAATTCTCGGGGCACCTGGGTGGCTCAGTCGGTTAAGCCTCTGACTTTGACTCGGGTCATGATCTCACTGTTGATGAGTTTGAGCCCCGCATCTGGCTGTGGGTTGATGGCTCAGAGCCTGAAGCCTTCTTTGGATTCTGTGTCTCCCTCTATGCCCTTCCCCAACTCATTCTCTCTCTCTCTCTCCCCAAAATAAATAAGCATTAAAAAAATTTTTTTTAATTAAAACAAATTCTCAAGTAATCTCTACAACCAACATGGGGATCTGAACTCATGACCCCAAGATCAAGAGTCGCATGTTCCTCCAACTGAGCCAGACAACCCTTAATGCACTATTTTAAAATCAAAATTGGAGCGCCTGGGTGCCTTAGTTGGTTATGCGCCCAATTCTTAATTTCCACTCAGGTCATGATCTCACAGTTGTGAGATAGAGCCCCACTTCAGGCTCCACGCTAGGTGTGGAGCCTGCCTATGTTCTCTCTCTCCATCTCTCTCTCAGTCTCTCAAAGGAAAACAAATTATTGCATTAAAGCATTGTGTATCTTGATTTTGGGTACCTCCTTAAATGTCCTGGAAGCAACTGCCCCAGTCTCCTCACCCTGGTGCTCAGACTTGTTCTGAGAAATCAAAGTCTATCAAACTAACTGAATCCCCCACCTTGAGCAGATTAATGCGTGTATTAGCGTATGTATCCATCGTCAGGTGGGTGACCTGAGGTCCAGGGAGGGTCAGTCACAAAGTCACACAGCCAGCAGGGATCCAAGCCCAGGCCATCTCCCTGCATTAGACTTGGGCACCTCCTACAAAGGTGGAGGGGCACTCAGAAATCCGGAGAAATCTTGTGCTGGCGAAATAGGGGGTGCCCCAGGAAAGCAGATGAGAGGCAAGCTTGGCATAATTACATCATCTGGGGTGAGTTCTGGAGGAGACCGCCAAAGCCAGGTGAGTCCTGGTGCAAAGTGTGAACATTAAAAAAGGGAAACCTCACGAAAGTGGAGTTGGGAGGCCAGAAGGGGGAGCTCTCATGCAATACACTCCTTGTGAGCCCTTTACCTTCTCAACCGGAAGAAGCCTGCATTCACCGATCAGCTGGGGAAGGTTTTCTTCTGCCCCAGCAACAGCCCAGCCAACAACTCCGCGGATGAAAAGCCACTATGCTTTGAGGGACGCCTGTCCGGCTCAGTCCCTGAAGCATACGAGTCTTTTTTTTTTTTTTTTTAATGTTTTTATTTCTGAGAGAGAGAGAGAGCGTGAGGAGGGGAGGGTCAGAAAGAGAGGGAGACACAGAATCTGAAACAGGCTCCAGGCTCTGAGCTGTCAGCACAGAGCCCGACGCGGGGCTCAAACCCACGAACCGCGAGATAATGAGCTGAGCCGAAGTCGGATGCTCAACCGACTGAGCCACCCAGGCACCCCTGAAGCATAGAAGTCTTGATCTTGGGGTTAAATAAAATCTTAGGGGTGCCTGGGTGGCCCAGTCGGGTGAGCGTCTGACTTCAGATCAGGTCATGATCTCGCGGTTCGTGGGTTCGAGCCCCTGCATCAGGCTGTACTGACAGCTCAGGGCCTGGAGCCTGTTTGGAATTTTTGGTTTCCCTCACTCTCTGCCCCTCCCCTGCTTGCACCGTGTCTGTCTCAAAGATTCTCTTCCTCTCTTTCTGGCCCTCCCCTCTCTCTCCCTCTCAAATAAAAAATTATAAAATATAAAATAAGGTATTACACCTTAAAAAAAAAAAGCTATTATACTTTGAAGTCCCAATTTATTCCAAAGCACTTTTTGTTTACAATAGCCCCTTCAACTACCACTTTCCACTATGAAAGGGCATTCCTCTATCTTGTTCTCCAGACTTGTCCACGGTTTTGCCATGGCTTGCTTTTCACAAATTGTAATTCTCTGCTATTCCCAAAGAAAGCCATCTTGTTGGTATAATATCTGATGGCTTTATTTTAAGGTTAACAAAAATCTGGGTAAGCAGGAGAACACCCCAGCAAAGCCCTCCATGTATCCAGGGGGAACTTCTAATCAGAAGCAAAGCAAAACACCAATTTTATTTTTTTTTAATGTTTTATTTATTCCTGAGAGAGAGAGCGAGAGAGCAGGGAAGAGTCAGAGAGTGAGGGAGATACAGAATCTGAAGCAGGCTCCAGGCTCTGAGCTAGCTGTCAGCACAGAGCCTGATGCGGGGCTCAAACCCACAAACCACAAGATCATGACCTGAGCTGAAGTCGGACGCTTAACTGACTGAGCCACCCAGGCGCCCCAACAAAACACCAATTTTAAACCCAGAGAAGATCAGAGCCTCCTAAAGTACATCCACCACTCAAGATAAATGTTAACATTTGTCATATTGGCTTGATTCACTTCAGAATTATTTTAAGATATAAACTATCTTTTTTTTTTAAATTTTAGTGTTTATTTTTGAAAGAGAGAGAGAGACAGAGCGAAAGCAGGGGAGGGGCAGAGAAAGGGAGGGAGGCACAGAATCCAAACCAGGCTCCACGCTCTGAACTCCCAGACTGTGAGATCATGACCTGAGCTGGAGTCAGATGCTTAACTCACTAAGCCACCCAGGCGCCCCTAAGATATAAACTATTTAAAAAACACCCACTCAAATGGCAAAAAAAGAAAAGAAAGGATAGAACCAAGGGTTGGAGAAGCTCTGGAGTGACCAGAATTCTCAGCCACTGCTAGTGGACAGGTAAAATGGGAAAAACACTTTGGAAAAAGATTTGGCACTTTATAGTAAGAAGTGTTTCTCAATCTTGGCACTACTAACACTCTGGCTGGAACATTCTTTGCCGTGGGCCGTCCTGTGGATGGTAGGATGTTGAGCAGCATCCCTGGTCTCGACCCAGTAGATGCCAGTAGTGTGACAACTAAAATCGTCTCACCAGACATTGCTAATGTCCCCCCGGTGGAGGAGGGGAAAAAAAATCACTCCAGATGACATCCTTTGGGTTAAATATCATGATATGACTAAGCAATCCTCCTAGGTATAGATAAGACAATGAAACACTTTTCGCACCACAAAAAGATATAAACGATGACATTCTTTTCATAAGAGTCCCGAACTGGAAACAACCCAAATGTCCATCAACAAGTGAATGGATAGGGGCGCCTGGGTGGCTTAGTCGGTTAAGCGTTCGACTTTCGCTTAGGCCGTGATCTCACGGTTCGTGGGTTCGAGCCCCGTGTCGGGCTCTGTGCTGAATGCCAGCTCAGAGCCTGGAGCCTATTTCAGAGTCTGTACCTCCTTCTCTCTCTGACCCTCCCCTGCTCACGCTGTCTCTCTCTCTCTCTCTCTCTCCTAGAAATAAATGAAAATATTTTAAAAAAAAACACAAAAAAACAAAAAAAAACAAGTGAATGGATAAGAAACTGTGGTCTGACCCAGTGATTCCACTTCTGGATATTTACCCAGCAGAAAGGAAAATGAATTTGAAAAGGCATATTAACTCCTATGTTTCCCACAGCATTATTCACAATAGCCAAGATATGGAAGCAATATAAGTGTCCATCAACAGATGAACGTATAAAGAAGATGTGATATACCCACACAATGGAATATTATTCAGCTATAAAACAACAACAACAGTGAAACCTTGACATTGGAGACAAATGGATGGTCCTAGAGGGTATTATGCTAAGTAAAATAAGTCAGACAGAGAAATATAAATACTATGATTTCACTTACATGTAGAATTCTAAAATAGAAAACAAATGAACAAACAAAATCAGAAACAAACTCATAAATACAAAGAACAACCTGGTGGTTGTCAGAAGGGCAGGGGCTGGAGAGATGGGCAAAATAGGTGAAGGGATTAAGAGCCTTAAACTTCCAGTTATAAAAGAAATAAGTCATGGAGATGAAAAGCACAGCATGGGGAATATAGTCAATATAATTGTAACAATTTTGTATGGTAACAGATGGTAATTACACATCATGGTGAGCATTTCATAATGCGTGTAATTGTCAAGTCAATATGTCATACATCTGAAACTAATATTCTGTGTTAACTGTACTTCAATTAAATACACACACACACACACACACCTACCTACATACATACATAATCAACTGTTAAAAAAAGAATAAGAAACTGTGGTCCATCTATATTCTGGAATACCAGTAAAAATAAAAAGGAATAAACTACTGATATGTACAACATTATGGATGAATCTTTAAAACATATTTCTGGGGTGCCTGTCTAGCTCAGTTGGAAGAGCATATGACTCTTGATCTCGGGGTTGGAGTTTAAGCCCCATGTAGGGTGTAAAGATTATTAAAAATAAATAAATAGGTGTACCTGGTTGGCTCACTCAGTTAAGCGTCCGACTTCGGCTCAGGTCATGATGTCACGGTTCGTGAGTTCAAGCCCTGCATCTCATGATGTCACGGTTCATGAGTTCAGCCCTGGAGCCTGTCTTCAGCCTGTCTCTCTCTCTCTTAAAAATAAATAAATAAATAAAAATAAATAAATAAATAAAAATAAATAAAAATAAATAAATAAATAATAAAACGAGGCGCCTGGGTGGCTTAGTCGGTTGGGCATCCGACTTTCGCTTAGGTCATGATCTCGCGGTTCGTGGGTTTGAGCCCCGCGTCGGGCTCTGTGCTGACTGCCAGCTCGGAGCCTGGAGCCTGTTTCAGCCTGTGACTCCCTCTCTCTCTGACCCTCCCCTGTTCACGCTGTCTCTCTCTCCTAGAAATAAATAAATAAATAAATAACATTAATAAATAAATAAACAAAACATTTAAAATATTTTTTTAAAAACCCATCATGTTCTTTGTGAATATATTAAAATCCACTGGGGTTGTACACTTAAGAAAGGTAAATTTTATGGTATATGAATTTTATTTCAATAGAAAACAAAGCAAGACATGTTGACTGAAAGAATCCAGACATTACAAATCCAGATACATAAAAAATAAATTATACAATGATCCAATGTGGTATGAAGTTCAAGAACAGGCAAAATTAATCTATGGTGATAGAATTTCCATAAGGTCGCCTGGCAAAGGACATGGTAAAATGAACATAGCTGGGGAGCAGACTGGCTGGTGACCACAGGAATGTATACATATAAAAATTCAGAGCTGCAAAAAGGATTTGTGTACTTCACCATATGTAAGTTGTACCTCAGTCAAAATAATTAACAATGGAAAAAAAAAAGAAAGAAAGAAAGAAAAGAAAAAGACATAGAGGCACCTGAGTGGCTCAGTCAGTTAAACATCTGACTCTTGATTTTGGCTCAGGTCATGATCCCACGGGTTCGTGGGTTCGAGCCCCACATCGGGCTCCTCACACTAAGAGTGTGGGGCCTTTTGGGGATTCTCTCTCTCCCTCTCTCCCTCTCCTGCACATGTGCTCTCTCAAAATAAATAAATAAACTTACTTAAAAAAATTTTTTTAATGTTTTATTTATTTCTGAGAGAGAGAGACAGCATGAGCAGGGGAGGGTCAGAGAGAGAGGGAGACACAGAATCCACCGGCTCCAGGCTCTGAGCTGGCTGTCAGCACAGAGCCCAATACAGGGCTCGAACCCACAAACTGTGAGATCATGACCTGAGCCAAAGTCGGATGCTTAACTGACTGAGCCACCTTGGCGCCCCTAAAAAAAGAAAATTTAAAAATAAAAAGGCATACCTTATAGTTAAAATGGAGGTCACGCGTGTTCACCTTCCCACTTTCACTCCCCTCCCCCACTGCAGAAATAACAAGCTAAATTAAAAAAGAAATGATACTGAACAATCACTGACCCCTTGCTCCATGCTATATAAGAATTAATTTGGAGCACCTGGGTGGCTCAGTCGGTTAAGCGTCTGACTTTGGCTCAGGTCATGATGTCATGGGTCAGGTTGTGAGTTCGAGCCTCAGGCTGGGCTCTGTGCTGACAGCTCAGAGCCTGGAGCCTGCTTTGGATTCTGTGTCTCCCTCTCTCTCTGCCCCCACCCCTACTCGCTCTCTCTGAAAAATAAGTGACCATTAAAAAACAAGAGAATGAATTCATTTAAGCCACCCAGCAACCCTATGAGGCTGGGTGCTGCTATTATCATCCCCTTTTACAGATGAAGACACGGAAGCATGGACCAGTGAAGTAACTTGCCCAGAATTTTACTGTTAGTCCATAGCGGTGCCTGGATTCGAGGTGCCCGGATTTGAGCCTGGCTCTCCTCACTCACCCAGGTACACTACCCCGCTTTGTTTTTTTATAAACTCGATACAAACTTTTACTTTCTGTTTTTTCAGTAATTGATATAAACAATATCAAATTGTATCATCTTCTACTTGCTTTTTGATTCCCACTTGTACACAATGTTTTTGAGTTTAGCTTTGTTGCTACATGTACTCTTTCTGATGCCAGATGAATCTACTCCCCTCTCTTTTCCTGGCCGCTGCTGGAGGAGACTTGGGTTTGCAAAGAGCCGTATCTTTTGAGAAACAATCCGTAGTCTCTCCCCTGCTAAGAGTCCATCAGGGGCTTCCGCAATCCTCAGGGTCAAGTTTGAACTGCAGAGATGTGCTGGAGCCTTTCCATCCTCCCATCTGCGGCATCTGGAATCTGTGCCCCCTACTTCAGGTTCATCAGCCCTAAAAACTCCAGCCATATCCCATCATGCTCTGTTTGTTCAACCATCTGTTCACCCGGCAGCTATTTATTGAGCACTTTCCACGTGCTAGATACTGTTCTAGGAGCCAGGGACCCAGCAGCGGACAAGACAGACCATGATCCTTGGGGAGCTGACATCCTGGTGGAGACAGACGAGTAAAAAAAATAGAGTTAAATGTATTAAAATTTGCAAGGAAGAGAAATCAAGCGTATGAGGATCAGAATTTGGTAGAGATGGGTTGGGGCCTGTTTTACGAGGAGAAGCAATCAGGGAGGACTTCTCTAAGAAGGCAACATTTGAACGAAAGTGGAAATGAAGTGAAGAAGAGAGAATGCCAAGATGCGAAGGGAAAGCATTGCAGGCAGAGGAGATAGCAAGTACAAAGGCCCTGAGGTCGCAATAGCCTTTTTTTTTTTTTTTTTTTTTTGAGGAGCAGTGAGGAGGCTGTGTGGTCAGAGCAGCCTGAGTGGGCCGAGCAGAGTGGGCGATCAGGGGAGAAGTCAGGACATGCCAGGTTCTCCCTCACCCACCTCTAGGGTTTCATTTCTGTTGTACCTTCAACCAGACACCCTTTTCCTCTTTATCTACTTTGCAGTTTCCTAATTTGTCCCTCAATGCCCAGCCCTTCTGCCTCTTCCATAGTAGTCCTGGGATACCTTTCTCCTGATACCTCATGCCTCATTCAGCAGAGACTTATTGAGAACAGGCCAACTGCTGGAAAATCTCAGAGTGTGACAGTTACAATTAATAAAATAGGGCTGTATTTTATAATAAATATAACAGGACTTGGAAAGGTCTCTCAAAGAGGTGGCATTTCAACAGAGACCTAAATGATCAGAAGAGGCCAGTCTTGGGGAGATATGCTGCAAGGGCACTCCAGACCAGAAAACAGCCAGTGCAAAGGCCCTGAGGTTGGAAGCAAAGTGAGAATATTTGAGGAACAGAGGGAAAGCCAGTGTTGTTGGATGGGGATGAGGGGAGCAGACGGGGTACAGCCGGACGGGTGGACAGAGGCCCAACAAGACTACCTTGTAGACCAGGTGAGGGGCGCATCTTTTTCCTAAGACCCCACCAGAGAAGCAGGGACAGCAGGCAGAAGTGGGGAATGGGGTGTGACCTAGGGATTCTGAGGCCCCTAGAGGGGGCTGGAGAGGGGCCAGAGCAGCTGCAGGGAGGTGCCAGCGCAGTTATCATATTTGGTTGAGATCGCACAGTGAGTCCTTGGTCTCCTTGTTTCAAGCCCGTGTGTGACTGTTTCCAGTGTCACCAAAGTCCCCAGCGGGCATCGATAAATACTCACTGAATAAATGAAAGCCGGGAAGTTGGAGAGAGAATTTGGCAGGGTTCCCCAGCTCTATCGAGGGAGGGAGCCCGGGACCTGGCAGGCAGCAGGATGCCCATCCCTGGGCACATTGGACCAGTCCCCGGGGCCAGCTTGGAGCCTAGCTTTGCCACATCCGCTCCATCTGTAAAACAGCTGGGTGGAAGAATTAGAAGAAGACAGGGCAGGGACTTTAAACATCCCACCTCCAGAACCAGGGACTTACCTGACATCTCACACCGTGTCTACTCACTCATTCCACAAAGATCGCCTGAGCATAGGTCAAATGCTGGGCACTTTCAGAGAGGGGTGACAGTTTCGACAAATAAAACAGGGCATGTCATATTTAAATATGACAGGGCATGGAAAGGTCTCTCAGAGAAGGGGAGGACATTTATTATTTTTTAAAAAAATATTCTTATTTATTTCTAGGATAGAGAGAGACAGTGTGAACAGGGGAGGGTCAGAGAGAGAGGGAGATACAGACTCTGAAACAGGCTCCAGGCTCTGAGCTGGCAGTCAGCACAGAGCCCGACGCTGGGCTCGAACCCACAAACCGCGAGATCATGACCTAAGCAAAAGTTGGACGCTTAACCGACTGAGCCACCCAGGCGCCCCAGGAGGGGACATTTAAATAGAGATGATTAGATCAGAAATGATCAGAAAAGCCTCAGGGAAGATGTGTGCCTGTTTCCTCATCTGTAAACGAGGAACAAAAGAACTACCTCAAAGCATTCTTTTTTTTAAAAAAAAAATTGAAAATGTTTATTTTTGAGAGACAGAGAGACAGAGCGGGAGTGGAGGAGGGGAAGAGAGGCGGGGACACAGAATCTGAAGCAGGTTCCAGTCTCTGAGCTGTCAGCACAGCGCCCTATGCGGGGCTCAAACTCACAAACTGTGAGATTGGGACCTGAGTCGAACTTGGACGCTTAACAGACTGAGCCCCCAGGCACCCCTCAAACTTAAAGGATTCTTTTTTTTTTAACAAATAGTTTACTGTCAAAGGATTCTTTAATTCAATTGACAAATAATCCAGGAACAGCCAGGAGGCTGGTGTGTCTGGACAGAGCAAGCAAGGGGAAGAGGTGGAGGGAGGGAAGACAGGGAAGGTGAAGGAGGTAAATCGTGCAGGGCCTGTGGTCTTCGAGTAGGACTTAGGCTTTTACTATAAGAACGTGGGAACCACGGAGGGATCTAGGCAGAGGAGGGAGGTGACCAGACGCAGGTGTTCACAGGCCTTCCAAGGCTGTTGTGAGGAAAACATACTAGGAGGTGGCGGAGCCTGGAGACCCGAGAGGAGGCTAGGGCACGGGTCCAGGTGAGCAGTGAGACCTGACCAGGTAGGTGGGGCCGAGGAAGGGGTGAGAAGTGGGCGGATTCTGGATCCGTGTCATTCTCCTCCTCTTCCTTCTTTTTCTTTCTCTTTTAAAACGTCCCCCCCCCCCCCAATAAAAGAGGAAAGAAAACATCTCTCCCTGGTCTCTAGGTAACCGAAGTATCCGCAGCCCTCGGCGTTTCGGCTGATCCCTGGAGGGCGCTAATGTTCAGGCAGCGTCGCCAGGGAGCGCTCCCCGCCCTGAGCCCCAGGGACCAAGGTTTGGCTCACTCACCGGGTTTCTAAGGGATGTGGGGTCGGCCGCGAGCCAAGCTGCGCGCTCTCGAGACTCCAGGGACCCTGGAGAAGCCCCGAAGAGGCCTCTGCTCTCCTCCGCTTGGGCACGAGCCTGCTGCATTTATGGAACGCCACCTGCATGCAACAGCTCTGAAGGAAAGGATGGTCCACACTTTACAGCGGGGAAGATTAAGGCTCAGCAGCCACAGACAAGATCCTTAGGGCCCTCAGCGTGTCAGCGTTAACAACGGCAATAACATTAAAAATGACAGCAGCCAACATTTATTGAGCGCCTACTGTGTTCTCAACACTTGGCATGCACAGTCTCTCTTTTATCAACACCGAGGGGTGGGTAGGGTAAATCCCAGTTCACAGATGAGGCGCTCTTTGGACTTGGGGCTCCCTCAAGGCGTGAGATGCTGGGATTTGGACCCAAAAATCTGTCCAGAGATTGCCCCCAGGCCAAGGACGACCTTTCCTAGGAGCCCTGAGCTCGCAAACGAGGCGGGAGAGGAATTGTTTTTGTTGTTAGAAGGGTCCCGGGAGGCCCAAAGGCCTCTGCCACTCCCTGCTTTAACGCGGCTCGGTCTTTCCTTCGGGTTCCCGCGCGCCCCGATGGGGGACATCTGGGCAGAGTGAGGGTGCAGAAAGAGCCAAGGGCGAGGGGAGCAGACGACGCGACTGCGGCCGGGAAGCGGGACGGCCCCGCAGGCGAGACCCCGCAGCCCCGGGGGCCGCCGGGAGCCGCGCCCCCTCAGCCCCGCCCCCTCCCCGGGCGCCGACCTCGGCGGTCACGTGACCGGGCCCGGCGGCCGCTGGGGCCGGAGGGCGCGGCGCGCGGACGCGGCGGCCGGGCCAGGCGGGGCCCGAGCGGAGCAGGCCGGAGCGGGCCGCGAGCTGGCGGGGACTCGCGCCGCGCCCGCCCCTTCCCCGCCCCGCGCGGGGCGCACGCGCGCTCCTCTTGCTGCCCCTCCCTCCGCGCGGGGACCCCTGGCGGGCGGCGCGAGGACATGGCCAGCGACGCCGTGCAGGTAGGCGCACCTGCGTCCGCAGCCGCCGGGCGGCCGGCCAGCGCCGGGGACCCCCTCCGCCCGCGCGTTGCCGGGGCTCCCCGGGGCCCCGGGAGCCCAAGGTGGGGGCCTCCCGAGCGCCCGGCGCCCCCTCCCTGGGGCGACACCGTGGAACCAGCACGGTCCCCTTTTCGGCAGGTGGAGGTACGCACCGAGCGGGAGCGGGGAGGTCCCAAAGGCCCCCGCCGCACCCCTAAGCTCCTCCCCCTCCGTGAGAATTAGAAGGGGCGCGGCGGAGGCTCTACTTGGAGTGTCTGTGGCTGGCTGTGCGTCCCGGTGCCTGTCGGCCCCATCACTCAGCTAGGCACGCCCCCCCCCCCCCCCCCCCCCCCCCCCCCCCCCCCCCCCCCGCCCCGCATTCGGTTCCCGGCAGGTGCGACTCCACCTGGGGCAGGTGCCTGGCTCAGTGGCCTGGAGGGAAGGAGGCCGCTGGGTCCGTGCCCCTCCCCCTGCACAACCACGCTCTGGCGGTCCCCCCTCCCCGCCTCCAGACTGAGCTTTATGATGGTCCCGACGCCACCCAGATTGGCACCTGTTGGCGGAAGTGCCCGAGTCACCTCATTAGGTTGAGGAATGGGGGGGATCCACACAGCCACCCTCAAGGCTCCGGGGTGGAACCTAATCCCAGGCTGGGGATTCTCTTGTGCCTAGAACCCTACCCTGGGGGGGGGGTGCAGGGCGGGGGGGGGGGTGTGCAGGGCTGGGGGGCTGGGGGGCCCCCTCCCCCGTATGCAGACACACACAGATGGGCACCAGCTTGCCACCCCGCCGGGTTCTCCGTGTGCCACCTTGAGACTATCACAGCCTTGGACTCACCTTCCACATCTGTGACAAGCGAGGCCAGGGTGACTTCTGACTTTGCTCCAGAATCTGAGGCACATCGTGTGCCTCTCTCTGGTGCCCTCCTTACTGCCTCAAAAGCCCTCTTTTGTCCTGTGGTTGCTGTGTAACTCGGTTTTCGTCTCCTTCTGCACCTGCCCCCTCCCGGTCCCCTCTGTGTCTCCCCCATGATCCCCTGTCCCCCACCCCAGTCCTGCTGATGGCCTGCCAGCCTTGCCGTGGAGCTGGGCGTATCTGGTGTTGCCGATCACATAAGGTCAGACCTCGGGGCCGGGGTGGGCGGGGGTTTCTGCCTCTACCCCCAGCCCTGGGAGAGCTGTGTAGGCACCCCTGGCGCATGCACGCACTTGGCATGTAGCAAACACGACCCGAGAGGAGGCTGTGAGTCCTGGAATGAGGCTGGGCCTGTGCTATGGTTCCGCCCCCCCCCCATCTCTTGCCCAATTTCTTACCCCCTCCTGGTCATCCCTCTCTTGTGCCTGCTTGGGCCTGCCACCCTGTCCCTCTGTCTGTCCCGACGTATGCTTGTCTGTTCTGTGTCCGGCAAACGGATGTCCTGTCCAGATTCCGGAAACGCCCAAAGCATTGAAATCTCCGGACGTGAGGGTCTAGGTTGCTCTGGGAAGGGGGGCTGGATGTGGGTCTCCTGTGCCTTGGTGGGCGGTGGGGGAGCAGGGAATCTCCAAGGCTGGGCCCGGCTTCTGATTCATGGGTTCGCCTTGCTGGCCCACGGGTGACCTCTGCTCTCTGGGTAGGAGTGAGTCACCCAAGGGAAGAGAACCCAGGAGGCTGGACCTCCCTCCTTCCCTCCCTGCTCTGCGTATTCTCAGGCCTCAGCTTCTATTCCTCTCTGCCTGGATTTTCCCCATTTGAGCTGGCCTGGATCTTGGCCGAACCCCCGCTCTGCCTGCTAGGGACGGGACGGGACGGGGCTGGGTGGTGGGCGGGGACTGGCTGCCAGCTGGTAGTATTAGGTGAACTTGGACTTGGACTTAAACTCCAGCGCTGTCCCTGTCTCCCTGTGTGTCGTGGAGCCACTGCCTTGGCCTCTCCGAGCTGTGGTTTTGCCCCCAGAACAAATGGGCCTAAGAGGGCATTTGTCGTCCAAAGGGAGAGATGTAGACAGGCCTGTGCTCTGCAGGTGGGGCTGCTGGGAAGTCCTTGCGGGAGGACATGGTCAGCAGCCCAGGGTGTGAGTCTGTCCTTCCCCGCAGGGTTTCTCAGCCTCAGCACTATTGACATTTGGCGCTGAATCATTCTTTGAGGTGGGGGCGCTCCTGTGTCCCGAAGGCTGTGGAGCAGGCTCCCTGGTCTCAACCCAGGAGATGCCAGGGGCACACCCTCCCCACCTCCAGTTAGTGACAACCCAGAATGTTTCCGGAAGTTGCTGAATGCCCCGGGAGGTGTGTGTGGGGGTAACCTACGCCCTCCCTGATCTGCTGCTGTCATCTCTCTGAGCCTCAGTTTCCTCAGGATTAATGTCAGGGGTCGCTGGGATGGTGAGACTGATACTCTGGGCGTGCATAAACCCTCCCTGGGGGCAGCTGCCCTCCAGGTAGGCTGGGAGCCAACGAAGACTTTCCTCATCTGTGAAACGGCTCTCCCGGCAGGGGTTCTCACGTAGTGCCAGGCCTCCTGCTTAGCTGGTGGTCAGATGCTGGGCACTCCCATTTTAAATCCCAGCCCTTCCTCCTGCTGGCTGTGGGACCTTGGGGACAAGTTATGTCACCACTCCAGGCCTCAGTTTCCTTGTCTTGAAAATGGGGAGATAATAGCACCACCCTCCCTCCCCCCCCCCCCGTGGACACACATTAGTTGACCTAGGTGGGGCTTGTAATAACTGCCCTTATCATTAAGAGTCATCCTTGGCCTTCAGCGGGCCGCCGGTTTGTGGGCACCCTCACCTCAGAGCGTCAGCACTGGCTTCTCATGATGTGGGTTTCAGAGAGGTGGCCTGGCCCGGCCCTAGCTGTGGTCACGGCAGTGGGTGAGCAGATCGAGAGGAAGCAGGAAGTCAGGACAGCCTGCATCTGCAGGAAGGGGGCTCGCCCATATAAGCACTCATGTAAGCAGGCGTGTGCACATCAGTGTTCATTGGGTAGGCACGGGGGTGTGCCCTCCCTGGGCTGCCTGTGTTCCGTGCACACGCCTGTAGGTATATGAGACAGTGTATACATCCAGGTCAGCCCCTGGAGCCCGTCTATACTCAGGGGAGCCTGGTCTCCAGGTCCACGCTAGCGGGCATGTGATGTGTGCGCACCTTAGCAAGTCCTTGGACAAAGAGCAGGGGCTCTCCCTGGTTGCACCCTGAGAAGCAGGCTTAGTCCTGGGGGAAGCACTGAAGGAAAAGGTCCTCTAGATGCCCCGGAGCCCCGGAGCTGGCCCCACGCAGGGGGTGCTGGGAGCTGGCAGGAAAGAGGAAGTGGCGGTCAGGAGGCCCTCGCAGGGCTGGGGTTCAGGAAGAGGGCGGGGCCCTCAGCCCGGACCCAGGATGGCGCAGGCCAATCCCCCTTTGGACCAGGAGCTGGAGGTGGGCACTGGGGTCGGGGTGGGGGGCAAAGAGGACCCCAGTGACACAGGCCGGAGGCCCTGCCCTCAGTGTCTCTTGATTCGGGACCAAGGGGAGGAGACAGGTCCCTGGCCTGGGAGTTTTCTCTCTTGAAGATGAAAATACGTGGGGCTTTTTGAGGCTCCCAGGCCAGGGCAGAGGGAGAAAGAGACGGGGCGGTGCTCTATGGGGTCCAGGTGGAGGGGCTGAGAAGACGGGAGACAGGGCTCGTCCCGGGACCTCCCAGTGCGAGGACACAGCTGGGGAAAGACGGGGCCTGTCCCCAGATGTCCTTTGGAAGGAGGGAAGAGGAGGCCTGCCCTTGGCACCTCCTGTCTGAGGGCATGGGCATGGCCGAGAGGGAAAGGGGCCCGCTCTCCAGATCTCAGCCCCATTGTTTGCGGGAGGGGGGCAGAAGCCTGCCCTTGATACTTTCTCGTTTGAGGAGCAGCGAGGGAAAATGGGGCCTGCCCTGGGGACCTGATTTTAGGGACGGCAAGAGGGGAGTTGGGGGTCTACCCTTGGGACCTCCTAGTTTAGGGAGGGCAGAAGAGAGAAGGGGTCTGCCCTCAGGACCTCCTTTTGGCGGGCAGTGGGAGATAGGGCCTGAACTTGAGGACCTTCTAGTTTGGGAGGGACACACTGGTGAGGTCATAGGGCCTGTGTTCCCGAATCGTGGTGGTAAGGAAGAGAGGAGACTGTCCTTACTTACGGGGTCCCC